TACACGACAGTGTACCTCACGCCGTGGTAGCTATATCGCGTCACACTGAGAGTTGTGTCTACTACACGGACATAAATGATGACGCAATCAGCAAAATAGTCAGACGGGCGCTGGGTGAGGGTGAGCAGGGAATCCTGGACTATAATCTAAAAATGGCAATCAAGAATAGAGATGCGCCGGTTGTGGGCGCCCTTCTGGGTGGGGACGGTTCGTAAAGCTGCACAACTGCTGAAAAGGTCCAGACATCAAAAAAAAAAAATCATGTATTAGAGTTGTTGTTTACATGTTTTGGTGTGTTCGCTAAAAATTGTATCTATTAATAATGTAATAAATGTAAAATAATATAAGTTTATTAATAAGACTAACAAAAACCACTAGCACTACTGCAATTGGCTTACAGCCGCGTGTGCGGGGACGTCATGCATTCGTAAATGTTCTACAGTCGGTGGCGCTGTGGGCTAGGTCGTTCCGTTCCCTACGAAATGGTTGACCGGACCGATTGCTGGCCTACACGTCATACCCGTGAACGGGTGCCTTCTGCTGGAACAGGTCGGCTCGTTCATCGTGCTGGTGGGCTGATTCAGTAGGGTTAGTCTAAGATAATAAGACTATAATAATTAGGTAACAACATAAAGTATTGTGTGTAGTGATAGTGGTAGGCGTAGCATGTAAGATATTTATATATAACAAAAAAAATTGACTATGACAATTATGTACTTGTAACATGACAAGGAAATTCAATTTATTATTTATTAAAAAAAAAACATCGTCATCCTATAAATGCCCACTGCTGAGCAAAGCCTTTTCTCACACAGAGAAAGTTTGAGCATAAAAGGTAGGTAAATTGGTATGGAAGACTATGGCACCTGCCGAAACAACGTAGAACTGTTTATTTTTACGATATTTGAAAGTTTAAGTTGTTTGAAGTTACACCTACTTTTCGAAGTCAGGCCGTTGTGGCCGTAAGGTTATTAGGTAGTATCACACGGATAGGGAGATCAACATTATGACCGTTCCATGTCAATTTATTTACCTTATTAAAACATTATGTATGTTAGGAAAAATCTACAGTTATTTGGTAAAGTGTCGGACAGACACCACTATCAAACTAGACATAAGAATAGATTAAGTCAGCGAATTTCGAGATTAGCGAAAGTAAGTAAGTCGTTCAGGGGATTCTGTGTTAAATGTTATAATAAGATACCAGGCGATGTACAACAACTAAATGAATCCAAATTTAAATTATGTATAAAGAAAACTTTATGTAGACAAGCATATTACAAACTTAATGAATATATAGAGGATAAAAATGCTTGGATGCAGGCTAGTCCGGCTCCACAGGATAACTAAAAACACTGTTGTTTTAATGAAACCGTAAATAATACAAACATATTGCTAAATTGTATATTGTTTAACTTAGATAACCATTGTAAATGTGAGAGCCCTGCAATTAACTTAATATTAACTCGTCGAGTACCGGTTTTATAGACACAATTAAAGAACAATAGGTCGCGGTCACCGGTGACCGCTTGGTACTTGACAGTTTAAATTAGATTAGTTGATTTCATTTGTGTCAGCTTGGAGTTGTCATGCTCACTCAAAGGTCTCATTGGCGGTGGCGCGTGCAGTGGATCGCTCGATTCCCTACAATATGGTTGAGTTGGGCGGTGCTGGTGTACGTGTCATGTTCGTGAACGGGCGCCGTCAACTGGGACTGGTCAGCTCCAGACTGTATTACTGTCCTTAAGGTTATTTTCTTTTTTGATCACTTTGACTGGATTTTAGTGTTACATTGTTCTCGCACAATCCAAACAGCAAAACTATGTAACTAGTAAATTGTATTGTGAACCTGATTGAAAAAGAGTAACCTATGGAGTTTCTTGCTCGTTTTTCTCCATAGGAATCTACGCCTTGGAATGAGCAAATAGCTTCACTTTAAATTTTTGTTTTTGTTGACGTTCAAAAGTGCCATTCTGGCCTAATTGAAATAAATGATTTTGACTTTGACTTTGATACTACCTGTTAGTAATATTCAAGCATAATTTGAAGTAAATACATGCAGCACTTTTTGAGTTCATACCGGACATACATACAGACAAACGGGCAAAAATTCTAAAAATCACATTTTTGGTTTCGGTATCGACTGTAGGTTGTCACGTTTATAAGACGTGTACAAGAGAGAAATAAAACTAGGTTTAGAATTAATAAAGTATGTGGGTATATTAAAAAAAAATTGAAGGGTCTGCCTAGGTCTTTAGCACTTGCTTAGTTCTCCACACTTCCCTGGCGAGCTCCCGTCCTCCAGGCGTAGTTCCGTCAGCTCGGCCACTCCACTCAGGTGCTGTGACAGGTTCGTTGTCCGGTTCGGTTATTGAAACCGTGACGTAATTCCTGGTGACAAGGGCCACATCAGTAAGCTGCCGGTATAAGGGGTGCACGGGAAACGCTAGGTATGCATGGCAAGAACTACATTGGAAAATTAGGGCTTACAAGGCGGGAAGAATTCCAGGCGTGATTCTTAATCGACACTGTAGGTAATGGTCGCTAGCAGAGGCGGTTACAAGCATATAATAAGAACATAGTGAAGGAAAAGCAAAACATTACACAAGGATAGAAATTAATAAGCTACGATAGTTAGACAGGCCCGTACCTTAAGATTAACGCAACGAATATAAAAAAGGTAGGTAATGGCCGTTAAAATTCTTTATATAAAATTGTGCACAACTTACCCAAGTTTGGGAATCACAATCACTTACAGGTACTTAATTTAGTTTAGTAGTATGGATAAGCAATCCAGTCTCAAAATATTTTATAATTATTTATGGCTTTATAATTCGCAATGACGGTAAGTATGCTATTTATCAAAGCGACAGCGTCCGTGCCTCAAGAGGTTTGGCAGCGGAATGTCGTCTCGCTTGCGCTCGCGCCGGCTCGTCGCGCGGCCGGGTGGCGGGGCGCGGCGAAGAACCTGTTACTCCATATATATAAAATAATGCGGTTGTCCGCATCACTTAATTGTTACAATTTATTTTTAAGTTAATTAATATTTTTATTTTAATAATATTAGTTTTTTTTTATTACTACTAAGTAGTTACTTACACTATGTTACAAGGTATATCACACCCAAGCATAATTAAAAAAAAAATTCGATATACTGTTTTCACTTTCCTACGATTTTATTACCTCTATATGTATTTATTTAAAGGGGAATGTTATCGAATGTGTTCTTTCGCCTGGGTGAGGCGGGAGTGAATGTCAGACTCTTACTGACTAAAAACCACCCCGTTCCTTCTCCTGCACGTCTAGCCGGAGCCCCGGTAACCCGTTAGGTTCTCCGTGACTTATTCTATGTATACAAGACAATTATATTATATATATATGGGTTCGGTACACAAAATAAAAAAAAATAACGTTCTCCTCGAGTCCACGTTTATTTACAACTTAAAAATAAAATCTTACAAAATAATAATCAAATCACTTAATGTCAAAAGACGTTTCATGAAAAATATTATGCTTTAGATATAAAAAACAATATTTCGTCAAATAATATGTAGATAAAATTAAATAAAACTTATTGTCTGTCTGAGCAACAGAGATGAAGGACTAATTAAAACATGCAACCTACTCACGTGACATTTTCGAGGATAGCTCGACTAGTTTCGAGTCAGGCTGGGACTTATATTCATATTCAGAGGCAGTATACTACTGCGGCGTGAGTAAGTATACAATAATAGTGTTTCAAGACATTTATCAAACACAAAGGCTGGTGGAATTTTACAAATGCTGCAATACAGGGAGTATAAATGTAAATAGTACTACTATTATAGACGTCTCACGTGACCAAGCCATGCTTCCTCAAACGCTGGGCCGCTCGGCCTCACAAAAACTACATGAAATTTTTAAAGGTAGGCAAAAGTAATATGCACAATACAAGTTTTCTATAGAACAGCTCATACAGTCATCTCAAAGATTAACAAAAAAAAAAATATCAGATACTGACTCAATTTCGAAACTCAAAAATTATGGCACAATACACACCTACTTAGTTGTATCTTGTATGGTCAGTCCGACCCGAAATGACGATACTATTTCCGAAATAACCGAAATATTATCAAAGAGAATACAATTTTAAATCATCATCTTTGTTTCTTTATCCGTGGTTAATTTACCAGTACATCATTAAACCAACAGACTGATTTTTAGAAGTAAAAGGTATCTACTACAAAATAAACATAACATAACATCACGCCTTTTATCCCCGAAGGGGTAGGCCGAGGTGCACATTATACCACTGTACAATGTAACACCCACTTTTCACTATTTATGTTATGAGTCCCATGTAATAGGGAGTGAGCCTATTGCAATATATCGGGCACAATTGCAGACTTCGTGCTACTACTGAGAATATTTAAAAACCCAGTAATACTTTGCCCGACCTGGGAATCGAACCCGAGACCCGGCAATCGCACTTACGACCACTCAGCCAACGAGACAGTCCTACAGAGCAGTACAAAATAAATGCAGTCTTCGAATAAAACTATCTATCATTATTTAATTCATTTCGGTCAAAAGTTAGGAAAAACGGGGTTTTTCCAAAAAATCTCGGGTCGGACGCCATTTTGTACATGGGTACATAATTATTAAACTTAATATTTAAATACATGTACATAATTATAATAATATGAATGTTGGTATTATGCTGTTACGAACTCATTTGCACAAATAGGGGACTTCTTCAAACATAATGTAACTTCTTCAGCATATGGAGACAATTCATCCATACTTAATCAAGAAACATTGTGTTTATATTTAAGTACATTCTGATTCTGTCATTTTAACTTAAATTAGTTACTAAATTAAGTTTACTATTCTTATATATAGCATATTATATAACAATTTAAAAAGATTTCGACTTGGATGAAGAAAAGAAATCGACTGGATAAACAAAATAAACTACAGATCATTATAATTTGTCCAGACTCCACAGTTATAGTCTAAATGCGAAAGACCAACACAGTCTCGAAAGTCCCCTAAATGTTAGCAATCTGGCATAATACAATAGAATACATATAACCAAATACATTCTTGGTTCCCTCACACTACCATGGTCTTCTCTTGGTATCTTCCTCGGGAGTGGTACCTCATTCTTCTATACCTTCGCAGGGGACATTTGCCCACAGTTCTGTCGTAGGCACCGTATTCACAGGAAGGTGGTGTACAGTCTCCGCGAGCCACACATACTCTGTCCCGAAGACCAAAATGCTCTCGTCCCTTGGCGAGGTACTGGCAGTCTCGGCGGCGACCAGCGTCAGGCCAGTCGCAGATGCATGAACAAGGCTCGTACTCCGTCATGCTGGCCAGGAATAGAGCTGGACATGTACATCTGTAAGAAAAATTTACACATATAAGACTGTCTGTATGTTACGCTTTGTTATCTCGGTATTATAGAGATAATATCCGACCATCGACGTCATTTTATTCGATCTTATGAAGTCATATTATTTCGTGCGGACGAAATCGCAAAGCAAAAGCTTTAGCATGTTCAAAGCAGAGTTTTGAAACTCATAATAAAAAAAAGGTTATTTATTCCTTCAGGCGTCTTATCAAATCAGACCAGGTACTTAAATAGAAACTAATATTAAAATGAGAGTCTATGTAATAAAGCGAACCTGCGTAACTGGGGAGGTGCCGTTGGTTCATCATTCTTTTCCAAGAGAGGTTCTTCAGTAGGTGTTCTCCAGTCATTCTGACTTTCTACCATGGCTCGGCGTGAGGGTCTTTCCAGCTCCTCTTGACTGTCTCCGTCGCTTGGCTTGACCACTGCAGTAGTAACCGTCATCTGTAGTGTTCCCCGAGAGACACAACCACACCGAGTGTGGTTGAAGAACTGCATCTTCACCACGTTCATCGATCCAGTCGCTTTGTGAAGCTGGAAATGATTAGCACGACTTTTAAGCTTGGGAGATTCATGTTCAATAATTTTAAAAGTTTTTTTATGGAATAGGAGGCAAACGAGCAGACGGATCACCTGATGGTAAGCGATCAGCGCCGCCCATGGACACCTGCAATACCAGAGGAGTCCCAAGTGCGTTGCCGGCCTTTTAAAAAGGAGTACGCTCTTTTCTTGAAGGTTTGAAGGTCATATCGGTTCGGTTAAAGCATCATTGAGTTTTACGATATTAAAATCAGAGATTATAGAAGAAATGGCTCATAAAACGATTGACTTGAATTATATTAACATTTTTGGAGATAATATTGAAAAACACCTCCAGTTTAACCCCTCCAGTGTCCTTATGAGCACCCGGTGGATCATAAGAAAAATGCTCCATGCTGCTTTCTCTTTTATAAAATCTATTATTATTAATGTTTTGTTTTTATTTTGACTGTTTTTTTTATTTCTATTGTAATAAGCCTTGTTTTCGTGTGCCAATGGCCAAATAAATGCATTTTCTTTCTTTCTTTCTTTCTTTCTCCAAATGTCACGTGTGCACCCATTGGATCATAAGGAATTCGGACGCTCGACGGGTTAATGAAAATGGTAATATACACTGAAGTGACTTACATAGAATGGTAAGACGACTGTCTTGCCTTCGATCGGGGCGCAGACTTCACTCTCGTTCACGCAGCAGCCAGAATCAGGAGCACATCGGTGCAGCTGCACGCATGGTGGCAAATATCTGGAATTTCCAGACACAGAATTTAATGACACGTGTCAGTCAACAACAGGTATTCTACTGTATTTAATTGGTTGTAGGACTGATGACCTTGAGGTATTAGGTTTATTATGAGACAAGCTTTGTTAAGTTTTTAATGATTATGGCAAGATACCACTAAGATGGTTGATCTTGAACGCAATGAATTTCACTGTTCCAGAATTTCTTTTTTGGTGGTTATTGTAGTTCCAAGCTTACAGTTGGGAGTGTATGATTTGTCCTATAAATCTACCAGAATGGTCTATATACTGACCTGGTATCAGCAGCTGGAGCCAGTTGTCTCACGATCAGCCAGCGTGGCTGAGGGTCCACGCACTTTCCATTCTTCAACAAGTCGTTCATGCTTCTATATGCTGCCTTCCGAAGAGCTGCTCGTTCCACTGGAGTCATGGCTACAAATATACAATAAAATTAGTAACGTAGGTAAAATTTAATATCACATATAGGATATTTCAATTAGAGTCCAGATTCCTTCGATCAAGTGCTCAAAATATAAAATCTACTCACGGTCATCCAAGATCCTGGGTCTCGCATTAGTAGCTGCTATTGTCTCCGCAGCAGACACGACTACAGTCTTCACTGGTCCTATCCTGGACATAGCTGATGGAGTCACTCCCAGGATCTGAGGCTTCGAAGTGGAACTGGAGTCTGGTAAGTCATCAGAATCCCAGTCATCGTTGCCGTCCATCGGATAGTCTCCGAACTCCTAGAAATGAGAAACAATAAATCAGTTATTATGATAAACTGAATAGGAATCACGTAAATCTAACTAAACCAAACCAAACCAAAATTAATCTCTAAAAAACTAGCCAAGTCTCGATGGAGCCGCTCGTTCATCTCTAAAAAGTAATAATAATCAAAAAAATAATCTCTAGACAAAGTCGTGCAAGTCTAAGATTCCTTACTGCAATTTCTTTTTTATTATTATAACTAGTTGGAGTTGTATGACTTGGCCGTTGAAGGGTATACAAGGGTGCAAAACTAGATGCAAGAGTTTATGGGAAGTACCAGTTCTATTTTGATGATTATGACTGAGTAGGTGAGCGAGTGTCATAAATGCGAAACTTTGCTTTCGCATAACTTTGGAACTAAATGACCTACGGACTTGAAATTTTGGATTTTTATGTGATTATAGTTTACTGGATGATGACAATTTAGCTGCGTTCTGGTCTTATCCAGAGGTTCTCAAATAGGGGCCTGCAAAAGGGGCGACAGGGGTGAAATGGAATAAGGAGGCTACGACAGTGTTTGCTTCGCGCTAGGCTTGGCCGGGCACTGCTGTGCCCCCAGATGGTATGTCTTCACATCACACAGTTCATGTTATTAAGTTGTAAACACATCACGATACAGGAGATGGTCTTAGTCTGAGACAAGTTTTTTTGTAGAAGATTAATGCAAAATAATTCAAACTAATTGCAACATTAATATTATAAGTTCCCATAACATGACTCACAGATAAGATTAAGATATAACATTAAATTACATCGGATACTCCATAAATCCATCGTCAACTTCATATTGAATTTGTTCTACAAACATGTCCAGAGATCATGCAAGTGATTCGCATAAATGAATAAAATTTGTTGGATAACCCTTTATAAGGCGCTTATAACATAGATATAAATTTAACTGTCAATTTGTGCAGCACATAGTTTTCACATACAATGACCCAGATAGTAGAACGGTTAAATAAATTGTGCGGTTCGCAATTTACGAGCGACGAACACAATTTCTGTGTAAACGAAACGACAGCATAATATCCGTAGTTTAAATGTGAACGGTTGAATTAAACTAATCAGGTTATATAAACAAGCTGGGGCTGGAGTTAACTTTAATCCGTGGGAATGTATGTATGTATGTATGTATGTACGTTTATTGAATGACCATCCTTCAAATCGGTTTAAAGGAAGACAAATTGGTTATGTGTTCGATTGGTTATGGGTTATATGTTACATCAAACGCACATGTCAGAATTTGCAGCATCACATAGATAGTTTGGCAGATTGAATTTTAACAGTATTTGTTTAAAATTTTTACCCTTTTCTGAGATAAATCTGATATGCATCCGTCCGTCTGCCTGTCAGTAAAGCGAGTCGCAATTCAATTTCACCAATCCATTCATGCATTCTTCAAGTGCGACTGCCGGGCAAGGGTTTTGGGTTTCAATGGATTTAAAAAAAAATTTCTTTAGGACGGAGTCTGGAATTGGGCCCGGTATATGGCAAAAGGCTCACCCCCCTATTACATGGAACTAATAATATAAATAGTAAAAAGTGGGTGTTACATTGTACAGTGGAATTAAGTGCTGTAATGTGTACCTCTGCCTACCCCTTCGGGGATAATTATTTCATTTATTTTCTAACAAAACACAGATCTGCAATAATATAACTACAAACAAGAACAAACTAACGTAACGTAACAATGCTTTTAACGCTAATTCTAAACAAAATTGCAATCGTAATTTACAATCAAGTTAACTCAATCTAATCTCAATACAACAACACTGTAGAGAAGCTAATAACTTAAGTACAAAAGCATGTAGTCATAGCCCAGGAATGCATCGTCCGGGCTTGAACCCGCTACCCAGAATAGCAGCCGTATTTATAGTAGCCATCTGTTTCTTTTCACTGAACTCTGTTGACTCAATCGATGAACTTCAAAGTGGAAAAAAAATCAATAGAAGATGTTTTTGATCTTAAATACTAAGGAGTGTTTGCTTTATAGTTTGTTTATATTCTTAAAGTGTATTTTTATAGAGATTTGCTTTCATCTAAAGACTTTAAAAATAAACAAAATTTTTTGATTAACGAGTACTATTAATTTAGGTATGGCCCATTATGATGCCCTGAGGAACCCCTTTTTACAAGTGATTAGATTCTATCGTTAGTAATTTAAATGGCAAATTAAGATAAGAGTGTCTCGGATATTATGGAGTTTCTTGGTCGTTATTCTCCATAGAAATCTACATAAAATAAAAGTGAATTTTTTCATGAACATTATTGGAATGAGCAAATAACTTCACTTTTTTTTTAACGTTTAGTAGTGCTTTCCTTGTCTAATTGAAATAAATAATTTTGAGTTTGACTTCGGTACGATCTCAAAACTGACTAGCAATTTTACTTTTTTCTTTATTTTTTTTAAACGTTGCCCTACATTAAGTTGTCTCCCGTGTCATGGGTGCGTTTACAAACATACAAGTTCACATACCCAGACCCGAAACAACAATTTGTGGATCACACAAAGAGTTTCTCCGTGCGGGAATCGAACCCGCGACACGTTGCGCGGCAGCCAGTTGCCCAGCCACCGCACCAACCATGCAGTCTACCACTGACCGAACCCGGTGCACCAACCGAATTATGAAGGGTTTTATCAAAAATGACAATGTCACCCACGTGAGGATGAACTTACTAACTTATGATCTACGATACATAGCTAAGTTAACTTGTCTATACACTATTTTAGCCATGTTTGATGATGGGTTACTGAGGACGGTGTTACATTTACCGAACGCGCTAAGATTGATATTGTGTTTAATGTGTGACTCACTCAAGCAAACAATTTGTTCAAACTAGAAATGATTATTTGTTAACCTCATAATTTAGCAATAGAAATGTTTCGATGATGAAGTTCTATTAGTAAAATTTTTAAGCAAGTAATGTGTTGTTTATTTCTCGTAGGTTAGTCCCATTTAAGATATCAACAAAACAATAAGAATATTATTAAAAACAATCAAATTTAAATCACAATATGTAAATAAATATATAGAATGCTAAATACCTGTCATAAAAACAGTAGGACTTACTTATGGTAGTATACTGCGTGAAATATACTTATCATTCTGTTTTTGAGGTAAAAAACAATCAAATTTAAATTACAATTATCACGATGTTTTACATTATGAACACAATCTCAAACTGCATCCAAAACTCCAAGTAATTTAGCATCACAAACGTGCCAAGAAACAACCGCGTCTAATTCTCAAAAGTATAAACCTCACCTCGTCAAATCTCATAAACTATTACTCGAAGTTTGAGCTCTAAAACTTTGATCTTAAGCTTCTTAATTGACTGTAGGAGTCTCAACTAATTTCACTGCGATTACGTTGGGATCGTATACTTCCGTTGCACCTGCTTCTGTTTCGTGGAACCCGGTAATATCATTCCGTATGCTGGTTTCTTTATCATCTTGTTTAAAAAGTGTTAGCAGAATTTCAAAGGTCAAGGGAACTTACTTAGCGTGATGTAGTATCTAAACTAACCCCTAACTATTGTACTGTTAAGTGTCACTTATAGGTTGTTGAAAATTAAAATGTCGTTAAATGTCACTTAGATTATATTATATTATTCTATTATATAATATTATGTAAATATTTTAGTTCATAGTTATTTATATTTTAAGTTGTCTATATTTTCATTTAGTAATAGTTAATATTAATTTTATTTATGTCTATTAAATTAAATTAGTAATAAAGTTCTTAAATCCTAGGGGTTCCTTAATTTCATAAGGAGTTTCTTGCTTGGTCTTATCTATAGGAATCTGAACCTTAGAATGAGCAAATAACTTCACTATTACTTTTTTTTGTTGACATTCAAAAGTGCTTTCCTGGTCTAATTGAAATAAATGATTTAAATGAATTTGACTTTAAAATTTAGGAGAGGTTTTTTTATGGTATAAGCCGATAAACGAGGAGACGGATCACCTGATGGTAAGCAGTCGTCGTCACCCATGGATACCTGGAAAACCAGAGGCGTTACAAGTGTTTTACCGGCCTATTGGGGATTCGGAATTTAAGGACTGTTAGGAATTATGACCTTGGTCAGCAGATATCATTTTGTATTATTTCTCTTTCATTTTCAATTTTCTCTCTCACTGCATACCTTTACACTTGAGTTTAAAAAACAAAATGGCAACTGAATTATCCAGCTGTTCATTATTATTGTTTCTAAAGATAAAGACGTAATAACGAAATGTTAACTATAGTTACCTACGCTAAAATTGTCTGTCAGTCAGTCACTCTCTGAAATTAACAGCTAGTTCTAAAGCATTTCTATTATTGTATCTATAAACTGTACCTTTTCGTAGAAACTTGAGCCTGACTAGGTATTTATGTTAATTGATTAAATATTTTGTTTGAGATTTATTAAAATTGTCATTTATCTGGTCTCCCTGACTGCCTCGTTGGCCGAGTGGTCGCAATTGCGACTGCCAGGCCTCGGGTTCGATTCCCGGGTCGGGCAAAGTAATAGAATAGAATAGAATAGAATAGTAATCTTTATTTCAGGCTCAGAGCTCATAAACGGTTAGTAACAATTTACTTATACAACTAGTGTTAGTAACACAAATTTGATCATATTACAATTACTATTATTATACCTACAATCAGATTTCAATTAAAAAACAAATGATAAATGTCATTGAAAAATAAAAATGTATGTTAAATTGAAATTGAATTAAACTAAAATAAAATAAAAACAATAATGAAATACATTAAAATAAATATTGATGTAAAATTAAAATAAAATTGGAATAAAATTGAAAAATTAAAAACAAAATTACAATAACAAAACATTAAATATAACGTGAGACTCCACTAGCATGCAACTTCATCCATACCTTTAAAAGGGGCAGATCCCATCGCTCGGACAATACCCTCAGCATGCTATTAGTGCTACCACGCAGGCGATCAAGAAGTGAAACGCTCCGCTT